TACATCAACGAACTAAATGGCATAAAGTAACCGCTTCCTTGGAAGTTGGAACGTTAGTTTTAATTAAAAATGAGTTAGCGCCGCCAATGAAATGGCATCTGGCCAGAGTGACGCAGGTACATCCGGGGTTAGACGGGGTTGTCAGGGTCACAGCATGTCAGGGTTGCCACCGTGCAAACCTCTAACGGACTGCTCAAACGTCCGGTGGTCCTTTGCCACTTTATTAATTAAAAATTGCATTGCAATTTTGGTGGGCGGAATGTTTCGTCCACTCAATAGTTTTAAGTTATTTGTATTAAATTGTTAAGATTGTCCTTCATTGAATTATTTTGTTTTGTTTATTTTGCCAATTATTTATTGAAGTACATACTTTAAATCGTGGATTAAAAGTTTACTCCAAATTCAAAGTATGTAGGTACCTACTTCGATAAATAATTGGCAAAATAAACAAAAGAAAATAATTCAATGAAGGACAATCTTAACAATTTAATACAAATAACTTAAAACTAATGAGTGGACGAAACAATCAGTGTCATTTATATTACGATAATTGGACAGTGACTCTAAAATTGGGAAATAAATACCTAAAATTACCAATTTACAACAGCCTAGAGGAAAGTACATTGATAGTCCCACCAAGATGTGAAGTTGTACGAAAAGTTACCAGTTGGAAAAAACAAAAGAGGCTTTTGTAGTTTTGAACAGAGAAGTAACTCCCAGAGTTTTTATAGCTTCTTCGATTGCTTCACATTCCAGTCTATTTGTTAAAATATTAAATACAACACTCGAAAGTGTCACTATAAAAAATGTTGAAATTGAAACAGAAAACTTGAGCAATTATTTCATTTATAATATAGAAACTAAAACAGGAGATAAAGAAAATACTCTCTTGCAAGAACTAAATCAAAATATGCCGGAAGTAGCTAAAGAAGAAATTATTACTCTTTGCAAGAAATTTTCAGATATATTTGCCATAAGTTCGGATAAACTGACGTCAAACAATTTCTATAAACGAAAATTTAAATTAACTGATCCGAATCCAGTATTTGTTAAGAACTATAGGATTCCACATGCACAGAAAGCAGAGATAAAGAATCAAGTGAACAAAATGCTTGAAAATGGTATTATTGAGCTGTTGTCAGCAAAATACAACAGTCCTATTTTACTGGTTCCTAAAAAGTCAACTAATGGCAAAAAGGCATGGAGACGTTGTACAGATTTCAGAGCCATAAATCAAAGTAAGCTTATAGCCGACAAATTTCCTCTGCCAAGAATAGATGATATGCTGGACCAATTGGGCAGAGAAAAATGGTTTTCAACGCTAGATTTAAAGGCAGGCTTTCATCAAATACCCCTCGAAGAAAATTTTCGGGACATTACAACTTTTAGCACAGATACTGGAACATACAGATTTACAAGGTTACCATTTGGTCTAAAAGTGATCCCAAACAACTTCCGTTACTGACATCTGTTATTTTGTAAGCTAAACTCTAGATTTGTAACTGGGCAAAGAGGCAGATGTCACGTGATTTAACACGTGAAAAAAAAGTAAGTGATCACGTTTTTAGCATTGATTCTATTGCTCCGTTTCTAGCTAAGCTATTCAATATATCCTTACAAACGAGGGAATTTCCAAAAATGTGGAAGAGCGCCATTGTTAAGCCTTTGCCAAAGCAAAATAAAATTGAAAATTTTTCTGAACTAAGGCCAATCTGTCTCTTACCAATATTTGCCAAAATGTTTGAAGTACTAGTGTCTGATATGCTGTTTGAATTTGTAAATACCAATAATATTATACCAGCTGTGCAGTCTGGCTTTAGGAAAAATCATGGAACGGCTACAGCCCTAACAAAAGTGGCTACTGAAGTATCAACTATTATTGACTCATCAAGGGTTTCTTGTCTAGCACTGCTAGACTATAGTAAGGCTTTCGACCTTATACATCACGACATGCTTGTGGCTAAAATGAGGTTCTATGGTTTTTCGGAAGCTGTCTGCAAATGGTTTAAAAACTACCTTCTACTAAGAACACAGGTGGTTCAGCTTGATGGAGCAAGATCTGAGCCTGTTACAACTGGATATGGAGTCCCCCATTTACACTAGCGATCTTCCAAAGCAGGTTTGGTTTTTCTCCATCAATCTCTATACCGATGACACGCAGCTCCTGTTAGGTTTTGCTCCTCAGGATGCCTGTGTGTGTATGCAGAGAATTAATGACGACTTAGACTCGATATTTATATGGTCAAGTCAACATGGGTTGGTTCTAAATGCTAGTAAGAGCACATATATGATTATGGGCTCTAATGCCGTCAGAAGTCAATTTTTGCGTTTTAATTTCATTACACTACACATGAACGGTACTACTCTACCTAGCTCAGAATCAGCAAGGAGTCTAGGTGTGACTTTCGATGAAAATCTTAATTTTCAGGTGCACGTCAACGTAAAATTGTCATGTGTTTATGCTGTACTTAAGAGTTTGTACCCGTTTAAGGATAATTTACCTCGCAATATTAAATTGATGTTAGTGGAGACTCTTATTTGGTCACAGTTAGACTATTGCAATGTTGTCTTCTATAACTATCTGAATGTTGAATTTAAAAACAAAATTCAGTTACCTCAAAATGCTTGTATGAGATTTATTTTTAGAATTAGAAAATTTGACCATATTACGCCAACCTATGTAGAGAATAAGATACTAAAATATGAACAGCGAGCAGCCTTACACTTTGGTTAATTCGTTTATAAAATTTTTCAATCTGGTTACCCATCCTATCTCTCAGAATATCTTATAGTAAGACAAGACCTACACAGTCGCTGTCTGAGAAACATCATACGATTTCAAATACCATGGCATATAGCCGAAGGTTTTGAAAACTCTTTTATTTACAACCACATACGTAATGTTGACATTTCTGACTTTTTAAAAGTTTGAAAGTGACACTTTTTTGAATTTTACTTTCCACCCAGGTGGAAAGTGGTCCCGGGTGGAAAGTGCTCACTTTCCACCCGGGTGGAAAGTAAGTTCTCATTTCCTTAAATGTTTAAGACGAGTCCTGCATGTCAAACGTTTCTTTAAATGAGTCAAAACTTGTCAAATTTTTATTATTTTTTTTTGTATTTAGTCGAAATTATGAGGGTTGTAATTGTAAATAAAATAGTATACAAACCTCGGTAGGAAGTTTCATTCCTGTCTCGAGATTAAAGTTAACTTCGACGCTGCGCGTCTCAGTTAACTAACTAATCTCTCGACAGTAATGAAACTCTTCCCACCTCGGTATGTAATATACTATTTCCTACCAAGCGGTATAACTACTTAATACAGAGGTGTATGAATTTATGGTAAACTTTAAAAAGAAGTACAAGGCTTCTCTGCTGGAATTAATAGCGTAGCTTAGAATAGGCATTGAATTCTTTATTTATTTATTTATTTATTTATTTTTTCGGGTAGCATGGAAGAACACATTATGTGAATGTTACCTTTTATGTAATTTCTTTTGATGCATAATAAACGTTATTATTATTATTATTATTATTATTATTATGTGAAAAAATGTCCAAAATGAATAAAAGGAAGTCTACTCATATGGAACCTATGGTTATTACGCCCACTCCTCAAAGACCTTTTGATATAGTAAGCATTGATACTATTGGACCATTTGCAAAGACTGAGAGACGCAATAGTTACGCCGTCACAATACAGTGCGAATTAACAAAGTTTGTTATAATTCCAGTGCCAAATATAGAAGCAAATACAATAGCAAAGGCCATAATCAACGAATTTATACTTACATATGGACCAATGGAAGAGATCAGAACCGACATGGGCACTGAGTACAAAAATGAGGTTTAAGCACAACTCTTCAAACTCCTTAATGTATCGCATAAGTTCTCAACAGCGTATCACAACCAGAGCATTCGAGGGTGCGAAAGGAACCATATAGTTTTTAATGAATGTACATTAATGACTCGAGGAGCGATTGGGATGAATGGATTCCATATTACAGCTTCTGTTACAATACTACTCCTGGTATATATCATAATTAAACACCTTTTGAGTTGATCTTTGCACAAAAAGCAGAAATACCTGAAATGCTTTTAGGAACTAAGGTAGACCCTATATACAATATCGATTTATAGAGAATGTGAGCATTACCAATTTCTTGGAGATTTTCATGTCTTGAGTCTTTGTATTGTTTTATTATTAATTTTTTTTCTATATCTTCGTCTTAAAAGTCGTAAAATATTTTTAGATGTTTATTGTTACAGACTTGTATGTGCATATATCAGTTATAATCTTGCAGTTAAATTATTTTATTTTACTTTATTAATTTTATTTTTTTATTTGTTTATTTATCTATTTTATCTTATTTTTTTTATATTGACGTGATCTACATCTGAAAGGGTACAAATAGTTATTTTTTCTACAACTGTCAAAAAATGATGATGTTCGCACACTCATAACAGTTTGCGAAGTGACACTTTTTTTCCCAGGTATTGATTTTTTAACGTTCCCATGACGTCGTGCGCGAACTAGCTATTTCGCACACTAGAGTAACCAACTGGGCAACAGCCACACACTGGACATGCCGGAGATTATTCAGCAAGACTTGAGGACTAAAGCCAAAAATGATATATTGGTTATTTACAATGGTTATAAGACAGACATTGACTAGGTACACTGATAACAAGTCAACTTGAAAGCAAGTTCAAGGTGAATATTCACAAGTATAGAATGATAAGAAATAAATGACGAAATTAGTTAAATAAGTAGGTACTAAATAACTAAGTACATTTATTGTTTGAAAGTTTAAATTTTTGAGATTAAACTTCTAAGACTAATTGAGTTCTCAGTCTTCCAGAATTGGAACAGTTTGAAGTTTTGAATTTGAGATTTGGCTATTTCAGTACGAGTATGAGTCAAGCAGAATTCAAATCTCTTTGCGAGCTATTTAGACCTTTTTAAGTCAGGCACAAAACATAAATTTAGTTCAAAAGGATACTGACATAAATAATAGCAAGAATCAAATGAGGTATAACACCTAAATGTTCTCGTTTCCTATCCTTAGGTTCAGTAGCTGTCCATAATAACGCATCAATCATATCTTGCCCCAAAGAAATTAACAGCTTATCGCCAATATCCAACATATTGTAAAATATGTACAGTTTTATCACTGACTGGCTTTTTATCATGTGATAAAGCATATTAGTGTCAACCAACCACAATACCATTGTGCAAACCACTAGAATTGTAGCTTTAAGTAAATCACAGATTTCAGCTGATGATAGGAGCCGTTTATTTTTACTGTTGACACTAGAATATTTTTGTTAGAAACATTTTGTAGTGCTACCTCATACTTACCCAAAACATTTCGAAAATGGCCTGGTGATTAAAGCCCATAAACCCAATAAAACTCTTAAAGGTAAAAATGTGTAGATAAACAAAAAACTGTCTACACAATGCATAACTCCATATAGCATAAACTTTTCTACTTCTTTTGGTATTTTCATAAAGGAATAGAATTTTTCTCTTCCAGCGCTGAACCTTTCTTCGTCATTTTCAAGGAAATAGTCTCTGGTCACTTCTACTTTTAGAAATGACATAAGGGAAGGGGTTTTTTCTAGAAAGTTATTGTGATTGAAAACAGACATAAAATATTTGAATGTTGTTTTTTATATTTAGACATAAGATACTTTTGAACTGTATTTTTTGAAATAAAAAATGAATAATGTTGAATGTAGTTTTGTAAAGTTTAGGTGAAGTAAATGTGAATATTTACGAAGGATGATTTTTATGAAAAGAGGATAGATTTGTTCTTTGCCAAGGCCAAGGGCATCAAATCAAGCCAGTTCAACCTTGTGCACTGTACTGTGCACATGTGCCTATTTTTGTTTAAATCCAAAATTCGGGTGGGTATGGCTGGTGCTGGTCTGTATAAATCTTATGAACAACATATGGAAGGACTTAATAGTTATTTATGTATCAAGGGAATTATGCAGGTGTTAATACCCCAGGGCAACGTTTGTGTCCCGAGGGCCTCCGGCCCGAGGGACACCAATTGCCTGTGGGTATTAACTCCTGATAATTCCCGTGGTACATAGATAATTTTATATCCTACTGAATTTACTGTATTCTGTCTATTTTTATGAAGGAAAACCATATAATACCTTGGTTACGATAATCATAAACAGGGTCTTAACTCCCAAGGGAGTTAAGGATTTTCATAACTCCCAAGGGAGTTAAGGAAGGGAGTTAAGGATATCATAACTCCCAAGGGAGTTAAGGATTTCCATAACTCCCGCTTTTACCTTGAATAGGTAACACTTTGACAAAAAATTGAAATTTTGATTTATGGCTTATTCCTTTATAAAAATAGACAGAATACAGTAAATTCAGTAGGATATAAAATTATCTATGTACCACGGGAATTATCAGGAGTTAATACCTGCATAATTCCCTTGATACATAAATAACTATTATTTTGATCCTACTGAACTATTATAACCATTTAATACCTTGGTTACAATAATCATAAACAGGGTCCTAACTCCCAAGGGAGTTAAGGATTTCCATAACTCCCGCTTTTAATTACCTTGATTACGTAAAACTTTGAGAAAAAATAGGAACTTTGATTTATGGTTTATTCCTTTATAAAAATAGACAGAATACAGTAAATTCAGTAGGATATAAAATTATCCATGTACACTTTTCTATTGTGTTGTATTGTGTAAAACGACCTTTTTTATCACCTCAGCAATGACGAGAAGAGTCAAGTATTCTATGGAGTCAAGTCAGTGTCATATTTAAACCAATCATAACATAAAAACATGTTGCATTTATTTTTGTTCATCTCCGACGTTGATAGAGACTGTCTGACCTAAGTTTTTCAGAACAGACTTTTTGTTGTTAAGCCTGACTCACACTGGGCAAATTTAAAAAATATATTTTTTTTTTATTGCCTGTACCAGTTTTATGTTTGTCCAATGGCCAAGTGTATCACGGGAATTATCAGGTGTTAATACCCACGGGCAATTGGTGTCCCTCGGGCCAGAGGCCCTCGGGACACAAACATTACCCTGGGGTATTAACACCCTCATAATTCCCCTCGTAATTCCCTTGATACATAAATAACTATTTTTGTCTTTTTGAGAATACAGGAAAAGTTTTTCAAAAAAACCTTTCCGAATTTTCCCCAAGCAACTGTTGTGCTTTATTCCTTACTGTTACTATTTAAGGGCAGTAGGTGTATCAATTTAATTCAATTTTTTTAAATTGAAAATTAAGATAGACAAGTTATTGGCAACTATACTACTTTAAGAAAAGCAAACAATTTTGGCTACCATTCAGTGTCCAGTGTCCACCTACTCACCAGGTTTTAGATGTTCCATCCTGTCTTCACTAACATTATCGTTCCCTAAACTTTCGACAACACTATCTTGCCTGAATAATATTTTAGACGGTTGCCTGAATCGAATTTTTTTTTCGATAGTACAAGCCGCTTTCTGTTCCATTTTTTAATTGCAGGGTTTTCAAAAACGTTGGTCAAAGATCAAACCTCCAATCTGTTTGTCATTCGGTTTGCCATGTTCTTGCGATTTCAGTTTGAGGTAGCCGCAAGCTGTTATTGTAATTTTTAAGTAAACACTGCGAATTTTGCTACTGCTACTGCTGATAAAAGCGCGAAAAGATAGATTAGAGAAATAATAATAATAATAATCACATTTGACTCACCACATTTGTTTTTATTTATTTGTGTGTCTATATAAATGTCAAAAGCATATGTTATGTGACGTGGGCTGTGGTGCCGCAACCAACCGCTTTCAAATGACACCCTTTAAGCGCTCCCGAGTTACACCAAAGTACTCGGTCTACATTTTGACCCGTTCGAGTGAACAGACTTTGGCGCTCTTGAGCCACTCTCATTTCCTCGCCACTTGCCCCGAAGCACCGACCATTTTGTATCATACTCCGGGCAATACGGTTTCAAACGTTCGAGTGCAAAACGCATGGAGTAACGGGTGTGGAGTGTTCTAGAGAGCTTCGCACTCTGCGCCCAAAAGCGATGGGTTCATGTGGTTGGGTTGAACCAAGGATAATACACACTACTACAGAGGATTGCTTATCGGTCTCGTTTTTGATCTGCGACCCTATTGTGTAGCACCATTAATGACGTCATCAACTACGTTGTCAGCTGTTTGCGCCAACGGTCGTAAAGTTTAGAATATACATTTATGATGGAAATAATATTTCATTTTGATTAACATAATAGGCAAAGAGAAAGATGCAAACGAAATCTAAAAAAGCGTCGATAGAGGCAAAGTTTAATCTCAATGGTTTGTGTACATTCGTGCCACATCTCCATCTTGAATTATCAGCTGATTTGAATCGCCTAATGAACTAGAAAGAGAAAAGTATCCCCCGCTATAGCTCTTTTGGACGCACTTAGCGAGATGACAAATGCCATATATCCGACAACGGTCGATGCCATTCCAGATACGTGTAGTTTATAGTTCATTGGTTTTTGGTGATCGCAGTCAACTGGTGTATGGTATGTCAGAATAGAATGTTTAACGGACATATTTCGTCGGAAAAACGGATGCATGAAAATCCTCCCTTAAGCCTAGTACTCATAACTGCGAAATTCGCATTTTTTTGACATTGCGTTGACAATTTGACGTTTTATGCGTGTATCAAACGTCAAATTGTCGAAGCAATGTCAAAAAAATGCGAATTTCGCAGTTATGAGTACTAGGCTTTAGGCGGCGTTCCGTATCTTAACCAAAATTACCGAATGGTTACCGATCGGTAAGAAGCGGTTCGTCTATGGTAACAGTCTGGTTCCTGAAAATGCGGTTTATGTGTGGAACGCTTCGGTTCAGGCATGCTATTTCTAGTACAATTGTACTAGATGTAGCACAATCACGTGCCACCTAGTACGCTAGTACCTCTCTCACAAATCTAGTACAATTTGGATTACCAGTCGAGTGTCGCTCTCAGTGTTGCCAGATGGATTTTTTCGCCGACAGTAGATTGGAATGAAAACAAACGGTAAGTAGATCTGCTTGCTTAAACAGTAGATTTTTAGTTATTGACTTTTTTGCGTTATATTTCAAATATAAAACAAAAATAGCTAATTTATGAATATGAAAATATATTACAATCAAAAAATTAAACAACTACCGCAGAGATCTGTGATGTCACCGCTCAGACGGGGAGCGCTCTGAGAGCAGTGAAGCCGAAAATGCCATGAGTTCTAAGTTGGGGTGGAGTCAGTTTCTAGGACTGGGCTAGAGCAAGGATGATATACACTACTACTGCAGGATAGCCTATCCTCATAAGGCCAGTGTAAAACAAAGTCTCCCTCCCCCCCACCCTTCGCTAAAACACCAGTTATGACGTAGGCAGAATGTTATTTTTCGCCTTTTCTAGCATGCTTAAACAGCCGACGACTTAGTTATGATGACGACGGAAATAGTGACACACCAATATGGGGGCGACTACCAAAAACGAGGCTGATAATCAATCCTCTAGATGTGTATCATCCTTGGAGTTAGAGGAGTTAGAGCACGTTCGCTTTGCTAACCGCGTGTACTCGAAATCAAGGGCGTAGATACTTTACATTTCTGGGGGGTGCAGTAAAGTTAGGGGTGCCGGGGGGGGAGGGGTTCGGAGAAAAATTTCAAGCTCATTTACTTTTCCAGAACTTGACCTTAGTACTATTATTTAAGAGCATGGATATCGTGACGTCATAGGCAGAGTGAGCTCTGAACAAGTGTACGAAAGCCGAACGCAGATCGAAGAAAAAACAACAGAATGGTGTAAATGGCCAAATTCATGTTCTTCTGGGAATATACAATTGATTCATTAGTTGTATTCCTTTCAAGAGTTTGAAACACTCGAGCTACTCGCTCCGGTGTTCAGTCGCCCCCGATTTGCAGAGAACAGATGCGTGGTGCAACACACTTTTCGAAAGGAATAAGCTCCTCCTAGGTGTGAAAGGAATACTATTGTTAGCAGTGTTGCCAATCTGAATTTGTGATATTACACGATATGCTGGTCAAATTACACGTTTTTACAAGCTTTCATTTCTCACAATTACACGATTTTTACACACAGAATAGGTACCAAGAACCTATTCTGTAACATCAAGAAACAAGTATAATTTTTTTTTTGTTAATTATGATTTTGGGAAATGGGTTAAATCCCGTCAAATCTGAGGGTTAAAGCCTAGTCTCCATAGACGCGAAATCGCGGAAAGCGAATTTTTTAAGTGTCATTTTTTGGTGGCTATTTCCGAGCAAATTATTCCCATGTCTCCATAAGCGCGAAATTCGCGTTTTATTTAACAGGTTAAGGTTACCTATATGTTGTTGTTTGTAATCAATTTGAATTCGATTTAAATGCTTTGAATTTCAAACACTAATCTTTGAAAACCATGAAAGTGATTACTAAAAAACAAAAAAAGATATGTGTCTTGGTGTTGTCTTAATTACATTTAAGGCCCTATTATAATCTTCCTCATCGACCAGCAAGCTGTAATTTATGTCTGTTTTCGGGTCTACAATATTCAATTCTTTGGCAGTATCCATTCTTTATTAGGTATCTACAAGTACAAAACACATCAACGACTCACAGAGAACAGAGCACATACCGACAAAAACATAAACAAAACTAAACTGAAAGTAACACCACATAACCTCATTTTTTTTTGGCGAAATTTCGCGGAAAGTTAAAAAATAGTTAACTTTTTTGCGACGCCGCAAGAAGTTAAAAAATTCGCGAATTTTTCCCGCCATAAAAAAATCAAATGTTAAATGTCAAATTCCAACCAATCGGAAAATATCCGCAAAAAAAAATTCGCGATTTCGCGTCCATGGAGACTAGGCTTAATGCTCCTGATCATCGCTCCTCAACCAAGAATAAAGATGTACAACTACAGAAAAGCGTTTCGAAAGTAATCAACTCACGAATTACTCTGGTTCCTGGAAAGAAGGTTACTTTTGGACCTCAGTTTCCTGCAAGCATACGACACACTACTACTACTACAGGAGAGCCTATCCTCATAAGGCCTGTGTAGTTCAAATCTCAAGCCCCCCTGCCATGCCAAAGTACCAGTGATAACGTAGGCAGCGTGTCATTTCTCGTCTTCATTAATTAACATTACAAAACAACTCTTTTTCATATCTCGTTTGCATCTTCCGCTTCGCCTATAATCAAACTTAATTAACATTTTTCATCATAAATTTAAAACGACCGCTGACGCAAGCAACTGACCAGCTGACGACTTAGTTAATGACGTCGGCAATGGTGCTAAATCATTTGACCGCGATTACTAAAAACGTAGTTCAATGTAAAAACGAGGCCTATAAGCAATCCGTAGTGTGTATTATCCTTTGCCATAAGGGTAGCCATTTGACAAATCATTTGTTTAGATTGGAAAGCCATAAAACAGACAAAAATAAAGAAAATGTCAAATTTTTCAAATTACACGCAAAATATACACTTTTTGTTTATGTTCGAAAAATACACGCAAGCCAATCAAAATACACGCAAATCGTGTAATTACACGCTAATTGGCAACACTGATTGTTAGTGTTAAAACTGGGGCAGCACCAAGGAGAATAAACTTACTAAGGAGTGCTTATCGGCCCCTTTTTGGGTAATTGCCGCCATATTGGTTTTCAACTGTTTCCAACCACTGCTGACGTCATAACAAAGTCGCCAGCTGTTTGCGCCAGCGGTTTTATAAATTTATAATTTGTCATGAAAAATATTTTATTTTGATTTTGATTACCCCTTATAGCGGGTAAAGGTACCCTATGCTATGATGGAACCAGTAGCGCGATATCTGGCTAGCTTTCGTCATTCCGCCTATTTACACGTTTTCAGCATGTATGATTTAATGGAGCCCTAGGAGAATTACGCGGCGTTTTGTTTACATTTCTTTATGTAAGTATAATAACTATAAGATAATTTATTCTATACTATTTAATTGTTTTTAGGGTTTTCTCATATTATTATAACATATTCCTATTCGAGCATAAATTGTTTGTTTATGTATTATATTCTTGTAAATATTACTGTCCCATATGGCATATGGGCCTGGGCAGAAGCTAACATTTTTAGCTGTACTTACATTTTGTTTGTGGAATTAGCCATCAGGAAGCTTTGAATACTGCTTATGATAATGAAAATGTTGATGGCATAATATATCGAGCCCACACAGAAAGCAAATCACTGACTAAGATTCAGCAGATGAGGAATGTGGTTTTGACTTATCTACTAGGCAACTTTTGTGCTAGTGCAGAAATTGTTTATTCGAATGGGAAATATATCACAGGTAGAGTAGAATTAACAATTTTTTGGAAAATCATACAATTTTAACTTTATTTTTATTTTCAGACATACCCGAGGAAATATAAAGTACCACCTTGCGCTACAGGAGAATATGCTTCGGGCTGCAGCAAGTGATTTTTGAGTCAATAATGATATAAGGTATTATGGACTGCATCATTATCGAAACACTTTTCCTGAACGTAAAAAAAACGATGTGGTGGTCAAAACTGTAGCAGCCGAGGAAGAAAAATGTGCTGCAAATGCAATATCGACTTATTTATTCACTGTTCTCGAAAGTTTCACACTGGGTAATCATTTTCACCCATAATGCTGCTCGTGATGATGCAGGCCAAAATTCATTATAATCTATTTCGTTTATCTGACCCGAAATGATTATATCTATACAACAGCCTAACCGGATCTTTTTCTTATATTTTTGTAAACTTTCTACAATAGGACATTGCCAAAAGGGTCTCAAGGCTGGTATGGATCTCCCTTATAATGTCTGTATTTGAATAACTTGTATGTGTAATAAATAAATAAACATTTTATAAATAACTCTTTATTTTTATTTATAAATAGGTGAAAATTAAATTAACAAAGTCAAATAACTTGA